ACTAACACACACATACAAGTCCTGCCCCCACCCCCACACTGAATGAATTTCGTCACTAGCCAGTTATCATGTTCATAGTAAACGTTCGCGTTAAATAAACGCCCTGGTTTAAGAGAATATAGCAAGGAGATCTACCTCTTATGTAAATAAATGTTAAAATAGCGGCCTCATATCAGCTTCAGATTGTGTTCACATTTTAATGCGACAAATGGTGGTGAAGAACGTAGGTGGTGGGAAGGGATTCTTAGATGAGAATAAGGGAGGCATGTGTGTTATACTGTGTTAATAGAAATCAGAGGGAGGCGTCAGTAATGGGGGGGAGGGGGCGGGGGCGTCGGGAGTGGGAGTCGGAGGACGGTAAAAAATAACTGGAATTTGTAAGCCTTTACCAAACATTTGTGTGCATGCTTGATAAGCGAGTATTTGGCATTTTAATACACCAGACAATTTTGTTGACTGCAGAATAGTTGAAATCCTATAATAGCGTCCTAGAATACTGCAAGATTATATTCGACATAGGCATCGCTAGGTTGGGGCTACAGCAGAGAGACACCTATTTTTCTATGTACATTATTATCGTGGGTGGGAAGTTCCATTTGGATATATACTTACACCCCTGTAACTTGCGACACTAAACTATCACCAGTAGTGGAAGCCGACCTATAAAGTGAAACACAGTGGCATAACAAAATAACAAGCCAATAATTGTGTTTTTAATTAATTATCATGGGGGTATCGTCCAAACCAAATAATTAATTACTCTGAACTGGATTAAAATAGATGATAAATCAAACCATTGTTAGTCAACCCGTCTAGGAGAGAAAACAAGAGTGGTGCTTCTTAGCTATTAGGCAATGTGATTAGCAGCTTTGGTTTCCTTTCGACAACTTTTGCAACCGAAGCTGGTACCAAACGTATTGCTTAGCATTCATTTGGACTATACCGGGCAAGGTTGAGAGAGGTATCACTATATATGGTCCAGAGGCGTAGCGATGGGGGGGGGGGGGGGGGGGGGGGGGGGGGCAGGGGGGTACATGTGTCCCCGGGCGCCGACCTTAGGGGGCGCCAAAATGGGTTGTAAAAACATATTAAAGTATCATTTTAGCTGCATTTTTTCATTATAAATACTAAGGGGGGGTGCAAATTGAAAATTTGCTCCCGAGGGGGGCGCCAAATCGAATATTTGTTCCCCGGGCGCCGGGAAGGGTCGCTACGCCTCTGATATGGTCAACCCATGCAGTAGCGTAGCGAGGGGGGGGGGGGCGGGGGGGAGGGTCATATGTCCCCGGGCGTCGACCTTAGGGGCGCCAAAATGGGTTGGAAAAATAAATTGAAAGGTTTGAGGGGGTGCAAATCTAAAGTTTGAGGGGGGGGGGGGTGTGCAAATCGAAATCTCGAGGGGGGGGGGGGTGCAAATCGAAAGTTTGAGGGGGGGGGGTGCAAATCGAAATCTCGAGGGGGGTGCAAATCGAAAAGTTTGTCCCCGGGCGCCGGGAAGGGTCGCTACGCCTCTGAACCCATGTTCTCTTCAACCAATGTCCTGCTACGTACCCTCGGACTCCACTTCTTTGGGTGCATCCATTTTCTCCCGAGCCATATTTATACTAGTCTAATCTGGTACGAAAAAAGACTTCTAAAGATATAGATTATCTTGAGTAATACTTTTTAACCCTACAATGGTCTTAACCCTAGTCGTGTCCCTAAACAGCTATACTGGCAGAAAAAAATCTCCATACAATACTGTGTGCGCTGATGATATTATGTTTACAAGAACCAAGAAAATAAAGGGTTAAACTATTTATTAAGGTACTGGGTGACACAGGGAAAGACAGCTCAGCTTACTAGTGCGGAAAAGTATAGCAGGAGGCTACAACATAGATAGCTAGACGTGATTGAGTACACACAATCATAAGATAATTAGCATAACCGTGGCAGATTTCGCTGATTGCTTGTGTTTAAATACATGGCTAGGTTGATTAGGATGCATTTGGGTGGTGAAAAAAAGATGAATGATTGAGTGATAATCCGATTTAATACGTACCCAGGGCTATAATGAAAGAAAATACAATTTTTACCTGTGCAGTATATTACATAACTTGTGTTTGTTGTATTGTGTTGTGTGGTTCCTATATAATTTCTACGGTTATACAACATATTTACGAGCCATGACATTTGTTTGTTCACATTTGGACAAGTGAAATTTTTCCGGAAAGATATTTTTAGAGTTCTATATAGATAGTCACTCCAATAATGTAGCCAAATTGTTTCCCCTTTCTTGTTTAAACGAGTTATTTCCCATATTAGTCTAACGAGACATTTCCAACTTTGAGTTACGAGTCATTTCCGTCTTGGTCTAAAAAGTCATCTCCGTTTTGTCTAACGAGGCTTTTCCATCTTGGTTCAAGGAGTTTATTCCCATTTTTCGCCTAACGAGTTATTACCGTCTTGGTCTAACAACACTCCCACCTTGGTCGAACAAGTGGGGTCGGCGTGGTCGAGTCGGTAAAGCTCATGGTTGCTAAACCGAAAAGTCTCGAGTTCGAACCCTCGGGCAGATGAGGCTCGTTAGCTGGGGACAGCCACTCTTCTAGGAGAGACAACTCCAAAATTAAACAACTGCTGCCTTGTAGTTTGTTCTTGGTTGGACAAAGGCTATGGAAGCAAATCCAAAAAGAAAAGCAGGCTGAAATCGGAGTCAATGGCCTCAATGGCGCATAACCAGTTGACACGTAACGCTTAATTGTGTTGGATGCGTGGTCGAGTCGGCAAAAAGCTCAGGGTTGATAAATTCGAACAAAGTCTCGAGTTCAAACCCACTGGCAGATAAATCTCGATCCCCTTCAACACTAATAATTAAGAACGAAGAAGAAGAGAGGTCGAACAAGTCATTCCCATATTTGTCCAAATAATCAAACACACTTTCTCCAAACGACAGTCATTCAACCACAATGTTTGTCATACCACCCCTAGCCAGGAAGAAACTACATTTTTAAAAATATAAACAAAACCTGCACCATTTGATCAACCTCTCCTATGTTTATCATGCCCTGTCAACCCTACCCCAGCACGGCCACCTTACAGAGGAACCTCTATCAAGCAAGATAAGAACAATTTGATTTACGACGGTAAATTAAGCAGTAAAGACACACCGTCCCCCCCGTTCAAACACCATACCGTATAGGTAAAAAAAAAAAAAATGGGGGACAAAACATTGCTGCGCACCGTGTCTTCCCCGCACCGAATCGTTTTAGCGACATATTTAAACAGTGACGCAGAACAAAACTCAGGTATTCGTTCACCTGCGAAAGCACTGGGACGGAAAGATTGTCTACGATACTACTACACGTACAAGAAATTATACAATTGATTAAAAGAATTATTGTAAAAAATGTACGCATTGCGAAATATCAAGTTCGGGGAAAAGAATATCGAGTTTAAGAGAATCTCGTGTAGGCTTTATTTGTTCCCTTTATAATGTTTTTTTTTTAAATTTATGTCACGAGGATAGCATTACATTAAAGGAGATTCATTCACTTTAGACAACTTTTTAAATCATTTTTGTTAGATTAGTGTTCATGTGGCTTTTTATAGCCTTACTCTCTAGCTGGGATTGTATTTTTATACTGTAGGCGACACTTACATTTTGTGTCATTGTATTTTCATAGTGTAAGCATCAGGAAGGCATACATGAAATACATGTTGCTTGCCACTGCAATTTTTACATAGAATCAGAGGCGTAGGGGGGGGGGGGGGTGGCGGACCTCACCGGGTGACACGATTTAGGGGGGTGACACCAAGGCAAAAAATAGTAAAATATATAGAGAAAAATTTGAGGGGGGGGGGGTGCAAATCGAAAGTCCGAGGGGGGGGGGAGGTGCAAATCGAAAGTCCGAGGGGGGTGGGGGGTGTAAATCGAAACTTTGACGGGGAGGGGGGGTGCAAATCGAAAATTGAAAGTTTGTCCCCGGAAAGAGTCGCTACGCCTCTGGGGGGGGGGGGGGGTTGACACCATTAAGTGCCGCACCGGGTGACACGTGACCTGTGTCAGTCCCACGTAAATTTTAGCAGTTGCTGTAGTGTAACATCGAATATGTCCTAGATGTCGCTGTATATTTTTACATGTAAGTGTCACTACCCCCAAACGGCGCCACTGTCGCAGCAGTCTTATAGTTCTGCTGTCAGTTAAGTCTTTTATTCACTGTTTACGTGGGTTGACTATAGCTGACATTTTACGGTCAATGAAACGCTTATTTCATATTGTCTAAAACAACGGTTCTTAACCTGGATTCGATCGAACCCCAGGGGTTCGGTGAGACAATCTCAGGTGACGATGTAGGCCTATACCCGACTCTTATGATTCATGATCGGTGTTTTTTTTTTCAGTCCGAAAGATAGGACTATTAAGAAGGGTTCTGTAAATGCGCATATGAAACTGGTGGGGTTTGGTACCTCCAAAATGGTTAAGAACCACTGGTCTAATCGTTCAAGTATATTCAAGTTTGTGCAGTTTAAAAAGTTTACTTCTTCAACAAACATTCTAGGTGTTAGCGTATTTTTAAATTAGTACAATAAGATAGACAGTAAAAAGATGTTATTGTTAGGAAATGGTTCACATACGTAGGTATGCTGGGGAAACGTTCACATTTGCTGATGTGAGGAAAAACTCAGATTCCTTGGTGTGTGTGGAGGGGTTTGGTGTTCACATTTGTTGGTATGTGTCTGTGTGTGGGGGGATGGGGAGGGGGGGGGGGGGGTAACATTATTTTGTCGATGAGGAAAAACTATATAGTATATGAACATGGATTCGAAAATAGTTTTGCTCAAATATAACCAGTGTTTTAAAATAATTTGTAATAAACTAAAAAAAATCAACTTTTTTTGTCAAATTATGTAAGTGTTTCTAAAGCTAAAGCGCTAATTATCATATAGTGTCGTCAACAATATAAGAATAAGTAATACATATATTAGAAGGTATATACTAATAAAAAGCAAAGCCTTACCAATATTGACCAATCGAACGTTGTCTTCTGCTATGGCTCTAAGCGCCAGGGTCACGTTCTCCAGGCTCTGGTGCTGGTTGAGCGGGTTCTTGATGACCCTTCCTATCTTCTTGTTCTGGAGAGCTTCAACGAGGGCGCACAATTTTACTCCGTTATCGAAATCGGTCTCGAAGTCTGTGACCACCATCCCGGAAGCCTGGAGCTGTAGGTTGACCCAGTTCATGAAGGTGTTTTTCTGGATCTCGATCCAGTGCTCACCTGCTTTCTGGG